GAAGGCATACTTGTTTGTGATGGATACTTTTGTGTGTCTCTGAGGAATCTTTGGATTTGGGATGATGTGTGGAGGAAGGAGAGAGAAATTGTGCTAGTTTGAAACCCTGGGAATAAAATATAATACCGTAGGTTGTACCCCTTGGGCGGTTATGGTCTTTGGTCGTCTTATGTTCTTGGAAAATTATTTAGTCTTTTACCATGTTAGTTTTCCCCATAGCTGCCAGTATCTGCTCAGTATTCCTACATTTTTTCTGATCAAGCTTTTGAGGATGAATTGGATCTTGTTCGCACCACGATGAGCGCCTGGACCTCCTTGCTGGACCAGTTGACTCGTGAATCCATAATCAATGTCTTCACTAGTCTAATCAGTAAGATGCAATTTCTGCTCTTCGATTTTGTCACATTTAATCCCCAATGCCATGGTGATGCCAGAGCATGCTGTATATATATAATCAATAAATCGATTAAACTTTATTGCCAAATATTATTAAAACTCAAGAACTCTGACTGCAGCTCAGTGGCTCCCAATGCGCACAAATAAACAATAAAAACTGGATAATCTGTCCATATATACAAGATGTATACAGGGAAGGGGGAAACAGATGAGAATTTTCCTAGAAAATAAAGTGCAAAGAAAAGTTTATCATGACCCAAGTGGAGCTGAAACAATTTGTCAACTACTGAGCGCTGTGAAGGCCTCAGAGGAGAGATGCAGTTTGCATCGTTATCCTCATTTGAATAATTACTGGCTTTCCTGTTTCTATGACAACATGCTTTTCACCCTACCTTTGAATGTGGCCACTGAGAACAACTATGAACATGTTTGTCCTTAAACAGGTTGTACGACAACAGGGCTGCAATCACTGATCATATTTTTGATTGATAGTGAAAAAATCCTCCTCACGGGTTTGCAGAGCATAAGGTGAAGTCTTCAGATGTCTCGCTATGTCCTACCAACAGTCCAAAATTCGAATAAATTCAGCTCACTATATGACAACAAAGCAGCATTGATGGCTGGGCGCGGTTCCTCCAGATTGGCTCCATCAGCAGTTTCATTTTGGTGGGCTCCTGTTGATAAGAGGGTGGCAGGCAATCCCCCGGTGGCTGCGAGGCCTTCTGCTTTAGGTCACACTGCCTTTTGCTTTCGTCAGCCCCCACAGCTCTTTCCCATCCCACTTCTGACACCTGTGTAATGTAGGCTAGCTTGAGGAAAGAGCCGAAGACAGAAGTTGCCTTTTATGAGAATGAACTGCTATTTTATTGCACAAACACACAGCAACAATGAAAACTCAACAATCCCCATCAACCCTGACCTAAGTACATCCCTCCTAGAGGGGCATCATGGGGATCCCCACCAGGTGCTTCCTCCCTAAGGTATTCTGGAGCACCCCGCCAAGTACCTCTCCACCCCAAATGCTACAGTATTTTAGCTTGAAATGCCCAGCCCTACTCCAAACCTCATCCTGTCCATCTTTCTGACTCTTCTCTTTCTAACACACACTTCTTGTCACTCACTCAGTCAGTTCCTCAGCATGTATAGAAGAAGGCAGATTTGATCAGGATCTGTTAGTGATGACTTATGTAGACAAAGTAGTTGGCTGATGCTGGGCTCTGGGGATGCTGTACTGTAGTTCTGGAGGGGTGTTGTGTTTCCATCACTATGATGAGGTGGAGGTTAGGCCGCCTTGGTCACTGCCAGTTTCTAGTACTGCTGTTTTCTACATGCTACACCACAGCCTTCCAAAGTGACCTTCTAAATGTCTGCATAGGCCTTTGCTTCAGCCACAGTCAGGGAGCTACTGTACAGCACATGAACGGGGATTAGACTGTGTTGTGAGTTCAGCAGTGTGTTACGTTTCTGATTAAATCTTTTGTGTCAGGGTTCACAGCTGTCAGCATGCTGTCGACGCAGTAAAGGTGCCTCTTTGTGTTTTTGTATTCGGCCTTGGCTGACTCCCATATTGGCATTTTCTTCATGGTTGTCTTTGCTCACCTGCTGTCAGAGGAGTGTCTAACTGGCACACTTGTCAGCTTTGCTTTCAGCCTTCAGAAGAAACCTTGTTTTTGCACACTCCATCTCTCTGTCTTGGTCTGTCCCTTGCTGTCTCATTTAAAAGCACACACACACACACACACACACACACACACACACACACACACACACACACACACACACACACATTTGGCATCTTCCTTCTGTGTCCTTAGACAAACCCCTGGTGCTCTGTGGTTGGACTTCCCTCCTTTTTTGTTCAGCCAGCACCATGCCTGCATTGCCTCTCTGTGGTCATCACAAGGTTTACAGAGCAGCTCCATCACATCTGCCATTCTGATCACCATCACACAGTGATGTCCCATAGCAGGGTTCACTAGAGTGCAATGGCAAAGCAGGTTTCCACAACAAGAACTGCCAGTAACTTTGCAGATCAATACTTTTGACTGATGCTAGAACCCGTGGGGTGGTGGGTTGGTGGGTGATATCCTACAACAGCTGCAACAACAACAGCAGCAGCAGAATCAGCTAGTGCCCAAACTGTGAACTGTGTCATGCTGAGGCAACAATAGTTTTATCTATAGACAAAGTCAATAGAGACGCCTAAATAGAAAGGGTACGTGTTTAAGTCCTGGTGGCCAAAGGTTGTACGACACTGACCATGTAAACACCACAAACTTGTTTGTTATGTCATCACCAATATCTTTCCCTCTTCCTGTCAGCTCCCTACTATTGTCTAAAACAATAAGAGGGTAAGAAGCAAAAAGGTCAGGCAGCAATATCTGGAGTGTTGAATACTCAGTGACTTTTATTGTCAAGTCAGGGCTAAAACATATGCCATATTGATAAAAACATCTTGTTCAGTTCAGCCTCCTAGTTGTAATTCCAAGCTGAAGATATTTGGAATCAGTGACAGCTATAGTTCTGTATCTCCCACCTTTTTGAAAAAGGAAACAGAAATATCACTAAACAGTTGCTGAATGGCTGCAAATCATTGTCTGTTGCCATAGCTACTGGTATGTCTTTTAATACTACTTTAACTGTAACCTGAGAATGATGAGATAACTGTTTGACATGTTGATATGAAGGTTGGTGTTGTACCTCCAATTCAGTTATAAAACTCTAATGAGACGACTTTTGTACATTTGCTTTAGCTGAATAGCAAAAGTATCAAAAGAAATTTAAAGCAAAAGTAGAAGGAACATCTTAAAGGTTACGCTCGTCATGGTTTCTGTGTTTGTTTTCACTACGGTGTGCCCGCTTTGGAGATGCATTCTGGGAGCCAAATTTCAGCACCCCTCAGGAGGTGGTACTAAAATCAAATACCAGGAACATGAAGGGGGAGGAGGTGTGTGCACGCAGAGCAGTCAGTCACTGATGATTGGTTAAATGTCCGTGTCTTCACATCTTAAGCATTAGCATTACAAGCACCTTGTTTAAACATACAGCTGACTGTGTGTGAGAGAGGAGCAAAATCAAATCAAAATCAAATTTTATTTGTATAGCGCCAAATAACAGCAAAAGTCATCTCAGGACACTTTACAAAGTAAGGTCTGGACCTTACTGTTATCAATATTATTACATAGGGAAAACCCAACAAATCCCCCTTGAGCA